CAGCTGCCCTGGGTGCAGACCCGCCTGTCCGAGGAGGTGCTGGCGCTCAACGGCGACCAGACTGAGGGCATCTTCAGGTAGGCGCGCAGGCACAGCCAGAGCATCCTCCTGGGACACACTGGCTCCCTGGGAGGGCACTACGGGTTCCCTGGTGGCACGGGAAAACTGAGACCAAGCTGGGGCCATGGGTCACCTCAGCTCTGCAAGCACTCCCTTCGCCGCAGGGCTCTGTTTCTGGACAAACACCTGCAGGTGGGCAATGGTGGCCACGCTGCCGGTGTCTCCATGCCGAGCCACGGGTCCTGTCGTGCCCTGGGCCGGCTGCTCTGCCATGTCTCCGTAGGCATCCCTGTTCCTTCTCGAAGCCAACAGCAGCCCCCTATGCCTTCTCCTGGCCCCAAGGCCCAAGGTTTCTCCACAGCAGGATCAGCTCATGTGGCTGGAGCGAGCCCTTTCCCGTGGTGCCCATGACGGCCTCTGCTCTACATGTCACATCAAGGGCTCAGGCTCTGCCCCATCCCCGTACCTCGGTCACAGTGGGATGCCGCGTCCCCACGGCATTGTGTTTTTGCGACTGGTCCCTAACACTGCCCCATCCACAGCTGACATCTGTGCTCAGCTCTTCCTGAGCACCTCACGCACCCCAGGGTCCCAAAATCCTGGGGGTACCAGGTGGGTGGCCCCAGGGTCTCCTGAGCGGGGGCTCTCGGCCTTGTGGTGGGGACGGCGGGGCTCATGGCTGCATCAAAGGGACCCCGGCCAGTGGCGTCCGCACCCCTGACAGAGCGTCTCTCCTGCGCAGAGTACCTGGGGACATCGATGAAGTCAACGCCCTCAAGCTGCAGGTGGATCAGTGGAAGATCCCCACGGGCTTGGAGGACCCTCACGTTCCTGGTGAGGACCCGACATGGGCCGGGATGGCCGGCGGGGGCCTGTCCGCCGCGGGGCAGGACAGAGGAAGGAGGCAGAGCAGGATGGAGCTCAGTCACCATTGGTGATTCTGGAATTTCCCAAGGTGACGGCTGCATCTCTGAGAGCCCCCCATGGATCTCTCTTCCATGAGCGTGTCCCGTTGGCCCATGGACCCACGTATGTTTTGGTGTCCCCACGTCCTGCAGGTGCTCGGGTCACTTCCCCACCATGCGAAGTGCCGCGTCTTGCCCGTGTCGTGCCTGCAGGTTTTCTCTGCTGCCTCTAGGCCTTGCGGGGGGTGCTGGCCATCGACTAGGCTGGGGGAGCTCGTACTGCATGCTGGGTATTTCTGGTATTCCTGTGCTACGCAGCTCACAGCCCCGTTCTGCCTCCACAGCCTCCCTGCTGAAGCTATGGTACCGGGAGCTGGAGGAGCCGCTAATCCCCCACGAGTTTTACGAGCAGTGCATCACCCACTACGAGAACCCCGAGGCAGCCATCGCTGTCGTCCACTCTCTGCCCAGGATCAACAAAATGGTGCTGTGCTACCTCATCCGCTTCCTACAGGTGAGGCCAGGACGCCCTGGGGCATCCGTCCCAGGCCGGCTGCCTCCGCGGGGGTGCGGGGGACTCCAGGCAAGGGGCTGCGGGGCTCTGCTTCGTCACCACCCCATCACCACCGCGCTCCTCTCCCCAGGTGTTCGTGCAGCCGGCCAACGTGGCCGTCACCAAGATGGACGTCAATAACCTGGCCATGGTGATGGCCCCCCACTGCCTGCGCTGCCAGCAC